GGGGCTGGGGTGTGATGGGGTGGGTGGAGATGGGTTTTTTTAAAAACTCAGTCCAGATCGCAGCAGTTGCAGTAATTGCTTTCTGTGTGAACCTTTTAATACAATAATACAAAACCGTCAGTTTTATATTTGTTTAGCAGAACAATTTTAAAAAAGAATCACCACCTCAATCCACAAACACGGCAGTAATCATAAAAGGTCACACGTTCAATTACCTTTATATCTTTCTTAAATAAAGAAAATAGGCCTACATAAACCTAAAATTAAGTAAAACTTTCTTAATTGTCTTGGCAAAGACTCAAGATTTTTGAGAGTTTGACAGTCACTTTTAAAAACCGCACCCCCCCCCCCCCTAAAAAGGAAAGAAATTAATAGGTTAAATTAAGATCGATATCAGGACCCTTACCAACATCAAAGAACGACAGCTATGTCATTCAGTCCATATCTTTTGCTCGTAGTTATATAAAAGATGGCAATGTTGGTGAGTTTTTCAAACTACTCTCATGCTTTTACAACCTGCATCAATTTCGTTACGGAGATGGTTTCTTGTCGTTTACGGCACAAGCTCAAGCTCAACAACATTTTCTTGTTCGCATTGATGGCAGCGGGGATAGGGATTACGCACGGTAAAACGACAAAGGCACTCCTTCTGAAAAAAAAAAAAAACTTGAGCTTTTCGCAAATTGGGATAAAAAGTTTAGAAAAATCAAAGAGCTTGAAAGTATGTTAGTATACATTTGGCATAGTAGATAACTTTGATACCTGCATAGCTTGAGCAAAAGCTTGTTAATTTTTAGTGGAAACTGAAGAATCACTAGTGTGCTATGGCCTAAAATGTTGGAGGACTAAAGAAAACGGAACACAGAAGAAGAGGAACACAAATTTGGAAAACGTGGTGTACAGTTCATTAATTGTTTCTTCACTTTATATATTTTTCATAACTGAAATATGCAGAACCCCCAATTAAAAGATAAATAAATAGAATAAAATTGGAATATAAAATAAGCAATGATTTATAAAAATAGATATGAATAAAATACCC